GGTTAAGTGCGCTCTCCGCCGACCTCGAGCCTGGTTTTGTTTCTCCGGCGCTCGCTCGCTCGCTGGCTCGTCTCCGCCTCGCCTCGCCTCGCCTCTCGAGCCAGCCACCCAGCGCCGGCGACTGGATTGGGCAGCCCGGGCTCCTTGACGCCGCATCGCGCCGAGAGGACTTGAGGACGTGCTTCAACAGATGGTTGGGGTTAGTGCGTGTCATCACGTTCGAGTGGGGATTATCGGACGGCCAAGGGCTGCCGAGCCGGAGCGGTGGGGCTCTCCTCGTCCCAAATTAAGCCGGAAAGGTGCCTTTCTTTCTTTCTTTCTTTCTTTCTTTCTTTCTTTCTTTCTTTCTTTCTTTCTTTCTTTCTTTCTTTCTTTCTTTCTTTCTTTCTTTCTTTCTTTCTTTCTTTCTTCAGCAGAGGGGGCTGGGAGAGAGAGAAGAGGGGCGAAAGGAGGGCCCTTTTGCCCCCCTCTCCTCTCCTCCCCTCGGAGCCCAGCTGCTTGTTCAGGTAAAGAGGCAAACCGCCGGGGGCTTTCCTCCCCTCTTTCCCCCTAGGCGCTTCCCTCCCGCCGTCTCTCTCTGTGTGTGTATGTGTGTGTGCGCGCGCGCGTGTCCCTGTCCGTCCCCCTGCTATCCCGGTTTTGAATGGAATGCTTGCCCGGCGCACTTGTCAAAGCCAGTTGCTCTGGCCTTATCAATGCGGCTATTGTATAGCTGACAGATAACAGTGGGCAGAGTTTGATGCCGGCCTGTCTTTGCAGAACTCCATGCGGTTGGAGGGTGCGTGCGTGCGTGTCTGTCACGCTCTGGAAGATGGAGATGGGGCAACTTTTTGACGGGAAGCGGGGGGCGGGGGGGATGCGGGCAGCACGCCCATGTAACGAGACGGGACGGACTTGGGACCGCAACTGCTCACGCACCCGACTTGCTCCCCATCTCTCCTCAAACACCTCCCCCTAATATTCCTGATGCTCAAACAGTGCCCATTAGTGTCTTCGATGCCTCTGGGGCGGATCTCCCAAGTTTGTTTGTGGACTTCTTCTACGAAAAGCCCTTTCCCGAAACTTGTTTGGGAAGAACCCTTCCTCTAGGAAAAAAAAAAATTGGACCCCGTCCGCCCTGTTCCCCCCCCCCCATCCCGCTGGGATCTGTTGAACGTGCCGCCCGACCCGCTCTTGCCACTTGCTGCGAGACGAGGCAGGTTCTCGCCGGACGGCGCGCTCCGGTTCTTGGGGGTCGCTTGTGGGGGAGAAAGCCGGGCAGCGCGGGAGTCTGCCGAGGACCTTGGCAGAGCTTCCGCATGGATTTTCCAAAGGGAGCGGGAGGAGGAGATCGGGAAGAGAGGGGAGGCGGGAGGGAGAAGGGAGAAAGCACCGGCCGAGCAAAACCAGGAGAAGCTGCCCTCGCAGCTGCGGCGGAGCAGATGGATACAATCCATTTGCAGGTCTGTTTGGGAAAGTTTTACGAGTCGCTGAAAACTAAATAGCATCACCATAACGGGCCATTAAAGTCTCGCTGTATTTATAGATTCTGAACAGGCTATCTGAAGTGTTAATTAAATTTGAAAGAGGTTTCTTTTTTATAGGTGGGGAAGACTAGAGAAGCGAGAGATTTAATTAGACCCGCCGTCTCTTGCTTCACTGACGTCTGGGAGGGCTGCTCGGAGGGAGATCCTATGTGCAGGATGTCTCTCAAGCAGGTCTCCCTCTCCTGACCCACGAGAGGCCTTGCCCCCTTGCAAGTGTTACCAGAATTGCAACCCTTTAGGGCTTACGTTTACTGCCTGATTTTGAGCCCACCGGAAGGGAGGGGGTGTTGAAGCCCACTGAACTCAGCAGGGCCAGGTGCAGGATTGGGCAGATTCTTTATTCAAGGGACCGAGAGAATAATTTATCAACAGAAATAGAATGCTGGACTGGCTCATTTTATATACATATCCCTTTTTTTGCCCACCGGGCTCCGTATGGAACCCAGCTGCTTGTTCAGGTAAAGGAACAAACCATGGAGGGCTTAGATTAGAACTAATTCTAACAATTTCCTGCTCCAGGAGATTTGTTGGAAAATCTTGACCTATGCACCTACGTTTGCATCCCTTATGGAACCCACTAAAGTATAGTCTTTTGCATGAGTAGAGAGGGCTCTCGGTCTTTTAAGATGGGAAGTTCTATAAATGATACACCCTTCACAATCCTTTCTGAAATAAGATCTGAGCAGGTAAAGAAGCACAGCACTCTATGATGGATGTTCTGTGGATTCTGGCGCTTGGCTGTGCCAGATATCAGTACCCAGGAAACTGTTTCAAGTTGAAAGTGTACATTGGAGCATTCCTACTCCCCCCCCCCCCCCCCCCCCAGCCTCCCCTCAAAACAGTCTGCTTGGCTGCTTTACAGATTATGTTCTGCTTTGATTCTCAATTGTGCGCCTCTGCAAGAAAGCATCCTTATAAATAACTCCCTCCAGCAGTATTAAATAAGAGTACAGTACTGTATTAGCAAACTGCTAATTAGTCTGAGAATTAAATGACTTAAACTGAAGTATTCTGATTTTCTTCCCCACACTCCACTCAAAGCTCCTAAGAAGAGGTGGAAACTTTCCCAGGTCTCTTAACGATGAAAAGAAGACATCCCCTCTTCTTGCAAAAGAAGTGGGGGGTGTAAATTTTATAAGGGTCTGGAGAGGTTCCTCCCTTTCATTAGCAGGAAGAAAATACAGAAACATAGTACAGTTCTCTGAGCCAGTTTGTCTCTGTGAAGATGGAGGGTTTGGTAACCACATCATAAAGACAAGGTGCAGTAGTGTGAAGAATGTCGACAGTGTGCGTGCCACGGTGTGGTAATTATTAGGCTGCTTCTTGCTTTCAGCCCTGCTCCAGATGACAATCTACAACCTGATTCTATGCATGTTTACTCCCAACAGTGGGACTTTGAATTTGTTTGGTCTGGTTTCAGGGTAAGTGTGCATGTGGCTGTAACTTCTGTGATCTGAATATTTATGAAAAATTCTTAAACAGAAAACTCTTCTGTTTAAGAGGACAAAGGAAGTGAATCAGAGCAAGGATGTGAAACTTTTCTACTTGCTGTCCCTTAACCTAATGGGACTTTCTTTTTTAAAAAATAAAGGTGGGTTTGGGGACAAAGACAATGCCCTCAAGCCAGTTCTTAGTCTAACCCTAATCGGCTGTTCCAGATGGGAAGTGTTCAAAGGAATATTTATGGCTACTGCTGCATACCACAGGTTGACATTTGGTTTCTTCCTGACAGCACTTGTGCTGGGTACACACACATGAAGTTCCCATTAGCAAGTTCCTATCAACAGCTGTAAAACTGTTTAGAACTTAAAGGATATTGAAAAGTGAGATGATCTGAAGTAGAAGAGGAAAAAAAATGTTCTCAGAAGTAGGGAGACAATCACTGCTGCCAGAACTTCCAACATGCCAGAAAGTTTTCTTCCAATTTGTGTGAAATATGTGCTTTGCTTCCCCCCCTTTTTTTTTCAGTCTCAGCTGGGCAGGGGTGTGGTGGGGGCTTCTTTCCGTTACACTACAGAATGCAGAGCATACCAGACAAGTTAAAAGCCAATGTGGTGTGGTGGCTAGAGTGTTAGATTTGGACCAGAAAGCTTTCAAATGCCTGTTCGGGCTATGAAGCTCACTTTGTGGCTTTGGTCAAGTTTGTTATTTTTCAACCTCTAACCTGGGATTATAGGAAGCTGCCTTCCTCCTGAGTCAGACCATTGCTGAGTGTTGTCTATGCTGAGCTTCGATGTCTCTGGGGTGTTCAGTGGGGCTTTTCCTAGCTGTACCTGAAGGAGTCTTGTGTACCTAAAGGAGTCTTCCCCTGTGAGGGGAAACCCTTTGGCAAAAGGATGGAATACAAATGTTGAGTTATTCAAATTGTGCAATACAAATGGACAGTGGGTCAATCACAGCTACATTCAGGAACTGCTGAACTCAGAAAACAAGTTTTAAGTTTTATTTGCTATTTTTTTCTGGGGATCCTTTTCTAGGAACAATTCCTCACCTGCAGTTTGGTACAGAAATGTAATTTGACTAAACTAAATTGCATTATTTCCTTTATCCTTCCCCCATCTATCTCTCTGGTCAGGCGAATGGCAAGAATGCAATAACTTGTTTGAGGCTGAACATTCTTTGATGTAGATTGGCTTAATTGTGTGTTAGTTTATCATTTGGCATATTTTTAATTTGAGATGGCATTTCATAGAATAAGGGAGCTTGTTCAGCTCATGATATGCAAGAGCTGTTGCTGGTTCTTTTTGGTCAAACCATTAAATACAAATACAGTGTTTACATTTATTCATGTAAATCTCCCAGAGCAATTCAAAACATGGTTTCATCTCATCAAAGATCCCATAATGCACTTTAAAAAGTCAGAATAGATTAACGTGGTGAAGCAGACTTTGAATACTGAAATGTGGTTGTTCCTTGTTCTACTTGTTGCCATTTTCTTTTTCTTTTCTTTTTTTTTAATTTGAGAGAAAATTATTTGATTCCTCTGTACCACAGATATTGGGATAACACTTGTATTGAACTGTGATTTTCATTCTGAACAAGGACCAATGAAAACGGATTGTGAAACATCCTGAGATGGTGTGGGAAAGCATTTCCAAATATGGAAGGCATAATAAACTAACACTCTCAGAGGAAGCTAAGCATCTATGGAAAGAATGATTTTTAAATTATTTTCAAATGCTGTTCTGACCAGGTTACAATTTCAAACTGTTTCAAAGAGTTTATTCTGAGACTTACATTGTGCAGAATCATAAGCTGTCTAGATATAAGTCAAACCTTTCTCTTAAATCTATTGGCAGGACTTATGATAACCACATGAAGTTGAGCTCTTGCTGATGATGGGGTGGGAGGGTTGAAAATATAAGGGTGGGATTCAGATGTGCAGAGATCTGTGGGTATATTTATGGTTCACAAGTCTACAAACCTAAGTGAGTGAGCTGCACTATTCTTCCTTTATGATGAGTAGGAACTAGATTTTACCTCTTAAGTTTAGCAGGAGTAATAACATCATTTGAAATTATCCACAACTGCAGAGAGCAAAGGTTCTGCTGTGTTAATAGGGATGCTATGCATTTGTTGAAATGAATCCTAAATGACATGCTGGTATTAACATTCAAAAGTGGTTACTATTATCTCTTTAAAAGGTCTTGCTTTCCCCTGTATTTATCATAGA